GTTGTTTTAATTGCAACACTTGACTTTCAAAAATGATAATTTAGTACCTTGACTATGTAATTTCTATCAATTTTGGTCAAAATTAAATTGGTCAAATAATAAGGGTAGTTTAGTCATTTCACTCCATTTTCTCTTTCAGCTTGACGATTTCTTCACCGGTGCTTCATCGCACCGTCTATGGCGGCCTGCGTCGCCATCTGAAGCTTGTGTTTTGCGACTTCCGAAGGAAAGTTCAGGATTTCTTCTTCGCAGGTACGTCAATACTCATCGACGGCTTTCACTCTTTACACAAACTAGCTTTAAAATTTGAATCGCGTGCTTCCAAACTCGCTTTAAAATTCGAATCTCATGCATACGGTGAAGGTCAATAATCTGGTTGCAATTAGTTGCTTCAAATTTGAAACATTTGGTATCACTGCCAAAACACATTAGACCTCTATCTCTCAACGAAAATAATACTGGGCCGCAGGGGCAGATTCAGGAAATTGAGAGAAGCTCGGAGAAGAAATCGCCATTTTCTTTCTCCTTCTTTGCTTCTTCTTCCGGAAACGCAAGTACAGTCATCTGCACTTTCGATATTGGATCATTGGAGTCACGGCTTCATTGGACCTCGACACTTGAAAGTCGATTCCGTTTGTGGAGTCACAGTGAACGACGTAGCTGAAGCTTGGCACGAGACCGGAGAACATAATGGCAGAGTGGGGTGAGCTTGGACCTGCGTATCAAGCGGAGGAGCTGACATGTGGTCATCGTGTTTGAACGGGAGCTTGGAGGAGGCGACAATGGTTATGATGATGCGCGTGGACGTCAGTTCTTGGTGAGCTTCGCCGCTGGGCGGAAGTCGGGAATATCGGAGAGTGAGTATTTGGTTTTGCAGAGAATGGGGTGGCTAATCTTTGCAGAGAATATCGGAGAGTGAGTATTTGGTTTAGGGAGAAAATGTAATAATTTTTAATCTTTAGTTTTTGGAGAGCAGAGGATTCACGATGTCGAAGCGAGGACGCGGAGGTTCCGCCGGGAACAAGTTCATGATGCTTGCGTAGAAGACATGGTCTCTGTGAACGCAAGCCATGGCGCCGAAAGGATGGCGTTTTTATGTATTTCGAAGATAATGCTGGTGTCATTGTGAATCCTAAGGGTGAAATGAAAGGATCTGCCATTACTGGACCTATTTGGAAGGAATGTGCTGACTTTTGGCCTAGGATCGCAGTGCTGCAAATGCTATCTTTTAGAATTGTTATTTGAACTGGGTTCTGAGTTGGTTTTAAGACTCAGAAACCGGCAGCAATGTAATTTCGATTTCTGAAAACGGCTCTTCATGAAGGCGCTGACGGCAAGGAGGGGAACGAGGTCGGAGAAGAGAAGGAAGCCAAAGGAGGTTTGAATAACATGGAATGACGCTCTTGCCCTTTTTTTTAATGAGTTAAGATTTTCCGGTCACAATTTGCCGATAATTTGGCTGGCGTGACCAAAATTGATAGAAATTGCATAGTCAAGGTATTAAATTAACATTTTTGAAAGTCAAGTGTTGCAATTAACACTACCCTAATAGTCAATGGACCAAAATTGAAATTTTCTCAGACTTTGTATAAGCCTTTGTCAACATGGAAAATATATATGAATTTGAACTAATATAAATACATTTCATTATTTCAACTAATACTTTTTAAGTAATAAATAATATTTTAGGAATTTTTTTTTTAAATTATGAGTTATAACCATACAAATCAAGTTGGACAAATGGAGTGTTAAAGGTTTTAGTAACTTGCAAGTATATTTGATATAATTTATACTTGCCATATATTTAGTACATAGCATTGTTTCCAATGTGGCCCACTCGGAATGCCTAATGTAAATAAAATATACTCCGTATCATATTTAGGGCAAAGTGGCAAACCATTTAAGAGCAGTTCATTGTCCCATCAAATTACAAAAAAAATTCATATTAATTATCAACCTCTAAAAAATTTTCTTAAAAAATAAAAAACCTCTAAAAAATTGTACAATTAAAATATTTTTACCTTAAATTACTTTTTTTTTAAAGGTACCTTAAATTAGTTTACTTGCTATTGCATGTTATATTGGTGTGACTTCAATGTATATTTTTCTTTGTATGCATAGACACCACATAAATTATTTTAATTTCTTAAAAACATCTTTCTTTATTTAAAGAAAATTACTATTTATATTGACATAATTAATACGTAACATCCTTATATAGAAAGAAATTTTCATGTGTGAAATGAAAAAAAAAATGTGGAAGTTACATCAACATAATTTACATTAGCATAGATGGTAGCAATTTAAAAAGTCGAATGACCAAAAATAGTCAATTTGAAAGTCGAAAGACTAAATATGATAAAACCACTATATTCGAATGGAAGGACCTCATATGGTATTAATTCCAGTTGGTAACTTACATATATAAAAGCTCTAATTGTATTTTTTTTAAAGAGTGTGAGGTCTAATGTGGACATTTTTTTGTAGTTCGATGGTTTAGTTTGCGTCATGGTTTATGGGCAAGTTTTTTATTTTTTTTATTTTTTTTTTTTTTTTTTTTTTTGTATGAGTTAGTCGTTCTTGGGCAAGGTTTTAACCTCGAACCAAAAGACTCTTCCGTTCGGTGATAGGCGAGGTCGAGTCTCGTATCACCCCTAGGAAATACTCTCACGTTCGGCGTTAGCGAGGTCGGATCCGGTAATTCCCCTATGGAAAGCTTAGCTTTTTCTCGATCAAGGGTTCCCTTGTCCAAGAACGAGCTCTTCAAGAGTGAGGTCGAACCTTGTACAAACCCTAGGGAATACTTTCCCATTCAGTGCCAACGAGGTCGGACCGTGTAACGCCCATTGGGAAAGCTTAGCTTTTTCTCGATCAAGGGTTGCCTTGGCCATGAACTAGCTCTTTCGTTCAGTGATGAGCGAGGTCAGATATCGTACCACCCCTAGGGAATATTTTCCCGTTCAGTGCTAGCGAGGTCGGACCCCGTACTAACGTCCTTAGGGAAAGCTTAACTTTTTCATGGTCAAGGGTTACCTTGGCAAAGAACGAGCTATTCCGTTCAGTGATGAACGAGGTTGAGCCTCGTATCACCCCTAGAGAATATTCTCCCGTTCAGCGCCAATGAGGTCGGGCCCCGTTACGCACCTAGGGAATTAGTGTGAGGTCGGTTAGGGGTTTCTTAGGCCACCTTAGAGGTCGGCCACTTCCCCTACCTCGCCCTTTCAAGTAGTAAAATGAGTTCCATGACGAGATTTAATTTTGCTATTTTATTAAGGATAATGAGCATGAAGTGGTCGGACCACCTTACAAAATAAATCACTAAAAAATTTTGAGCAGGTGCTCGGGGTTCCAAACCCTATCTACTAGCTTTCCCTTTTGGGTCTTTAACTCATAGATGCTAGGTCGGACCACGGCTGCCACGATCTATGGCCCCTCCCAATTCTTCATTCGTCACTAGGTGACGTTTAACCTCATAATGCCCATAAGGATAATCAAATTCAAGGTTGGCGCGCTTTGACCTCGGCTAAGAATTAATCCTTTTTTTGCGTAGCAATAGGCGATGCCAGGATTTGTAACTCCATTTGGACGAATTGAGGTCGGGATCTCTCTCGCCTACGAGGACTTTGGGATGCCTCATCGCCTTGCACACGATGTCATTTTGGCAAGCCCGGGCCTTGCTACTACTCCGATTTCTCACTTAAAAATGTATTAATTGTAATATTTATAGGAAAAATATAATACCTTTTTACTCATAAAAATATTACAATTTTACTAAAATATACAGTATTATATATTTAAAATTCATCTCACTTTAGATGATCTTAGGCAGAACCAACTGAATTTTTTATTTTAGTCCTAACGAGTAACGAGGCATAACCAACTGAATTTTACTTATTTATTTGTCTTTGTTCCAGCATTTGGTTACTGAATACTGAAAAGCACCATTATATATATATATATATATACTCATGATTCTTTACAAGATAATATTTGTTCTATATTTTTTCAAACATTTTACTTTCTTAAACATTTTTAGCCCAAAGAATCTAAGCCCTCTGAGTCTCTGACTATTGGGGTAGTACTCCTTTTAGTCTTCGACTTTCAATTCGACAAAAACACATACCTCGACTTTCATTTTTGATAACAAATGGTCCTCCGTTAGTCTTTATGTTAAGTGAGAGTTAAATTTAAGAGTATAATCGTCAAAATAAAGAAAAAAATAAAATAGTTAACAAGTCCATTTGATGATCTGAGCTACCTTTCTTGATGTTGCAATTCGAAAATGCGGTAGGAAAGCTGAGAAAGGGGCTCTTTTATACGGGGCATATGGTTCAAATGGAGAGGTTAACATGAAACCATTTCAAGCATTCTAGAAAGCTCAAGTTTCACTCCCATGGAAAGCTTGGGGCAAACTAAACAGATGTATTTCCATCAATAGGCTCGATTATTCAAGCTTTGCTGCAATTGATGAATTAGTAGAAGTTTCATTTTAATTCATTTTTACTATGCCAAAATAATGAAAAACAGTAGCATAGTTATTTCATGGTTGAGGGGGAACTCTATGGCTTGCTTGATATTGAATGTGTGTTTATTGTGTTGGGAAATTGAGGGAACTTGAAGCTTACTTGCCATGAAATTTGACATCTGTTCATGTAGTTGTTTGCTTTCTTTATTTTTCTTTTGTTGGGAGGGGATGGTGGTTGGTGCAATGGCGTGTTTTACTTTTCCATTCCAATCTTTATGTAAGAATATATTTGAAATTGATCCATGTGATAACCGAATGGGTAGTAGGAATTGAGGCTTCTTTTTTATTTGTTGTTACCTATTTTTTTTATTTTGACGATAATACCCTTAAATTTAACTCTCACTTAATAAAAAGATTAACGGAGGACTATTTGTGGTAAAAAATAAAAGTCGAGATATGTGTTTTGGTCGAATTGAAAGTCGAGGACTAAAATGAGTACTATCCCAATAGTCAGAGGACCATTTGTGGTATTAACTCTCTCTCTCTCTCTCTATATATATATATATATATATATATATATATATATATATATATCCATATTTTTAGTGTTGATATTTTTATACATTGTACTTTTAGAATTGTATTATAAATTTTTTTTAATAAAAATATCTCTACCATTATAATTTTCGTTATCTTTTTCAAATTGTTAATATCCATAATAATTAAGTAGGCGCATACGAAACAAGGGATTATGTTGAGTGGGTGGTGCCGTTGTGATTTGGTTTTGTCAATAGTAATGATTTGATATGCTAAAATTATCACATGTAATAAGTGAAAAGAAAAGGAATTTTTGGGCACATGCAAAACTACCGAAAGTATTGTTGGAGGAAATTTCGTTATAATCCCGGTTCGATTCTCATAAGTGAAGATTTTCTTTAGGTCAGTTTTCGTATCTCCCAAAGTGAAGAGATTAGTTACGTAAATCTAGACAAAAAAAAAAAAAAAGGAAAGCATTACTCCACACGATTTGATTTCCATATCAATCCAACAAGACACAAAATCAACCATAATCCTATAAAATAATAAAATATTATGATATTCTCTGTAATTAATAATGTCATTATAGTATAAGGGTTTGTCTGTAGGATTACATTGATGTGTGCTGTTTGTGTTCCATCTTTATGAGATAATTAAGAAAAGAATCATCCAAGATTCTTAGAGGGGAAAAAAAAAAGAGATTGATCTCATTATCTTATATTATAATATACCATGAGTATTTGCTCCTTAAATTAATTATACATATACTGTTATACAAAAATTAGGGAGAAGGAATAGACAGAGAAGAGAAGAAAGAGGAAGATCAGCCCATTTCTCATTCATCATTAGAATCAATATACAAAGGTATCACATCAAATATAAGGCAATAACTATACATATAAAAGGTAGTAACCTATCAATTACAACTACTACCATATATACAATAATGTCCATAATAATAATATTTGTAACACTCCCCCTTGGACATTATTTGACATGATCCTGCCTCTTCAAAACTTGCTAGGAAAACCCTGTGGGAAAAACCTAGACAAAAAGTATATATGTATATATTCATGCCTCGTTAAAAACTTCACTAGGAAAACCTCGTGGGAAAAAACCTAGTTGAAGAAAAGAGTACATGATATTTGTAAGAACATATATTGTACTGATTGCCTCGTTAAAAACCTTAACTTAAAAAAAACCCTATGGGAAAAACTTAGTTAAGGGAAAAAGAGTACAACCAAAACCTTCAGGGCACAATCGACATAATCTTCAGGATTTTTGGGGTTTGTCTACTTAAGCAATTATTTTGCAACTTTTCCCCATTTACATTACTATATCATACTCATGTCTCGTTAAAAACCTCACTAGAAAACCCAGTGGGAAAAATTAGTTGAGGAAAAGAGTGCATGATGTATGCGTATTCTTGTTTTAGATTAGCTGCCTCATTAAAAACTTTAGATTTAAGATAAAACCCCGTAGGGAAAACTTAACTAAGGAAACGAGTACATCTGTTAGTCTTCAAGACCCAATCTTCAGGATTGATTCATGCAAAATGATACTCCCCCTCAAGATAACAATCTTTAAGTCCCATACATTAAATTTCCAAACTGTACGGGTATAGAGGGATTTTGTAAATAAATATATACAACTGTCATTTGAATAAATATACTCTATAATAATCTTGTGACTCTTCTGGAGTTCACGTGGTATAATATTAATATCATAGTATCTAGTCAAAAGGATTTCATTATATATCCTTTTATTGACCCTCTATGGGACAATGAGGTAAAAATAGTACAACCAATTTTGGAACCTGGCATTATGGAGTTACAAAAGTAATGGCCAGTACCCAAGTAGCCATTATATATTTGTTTGTCTAAGTATCCAATCAAAATCATATATCATATACTGACTAACTGGTGTATAAAATTTCTTCAAGGAAAAACTCTATCTTCTGGAGTTGAGATAATACTTGGCTTTCTCAAGCTTTTGTTTCAAAATCTCCGTCTTTAGATATGGGCTGACATCATCAAACCCTTTATATATTTCATTGATGTTTTCCACCATCAATATTGACTTAGAGAATAAATAATAAGTAAGTTCATTATCAACTCTTTATCGAGCACACAATGGTACATATTATTCCTTCAATGAGGATATTAACTCCATTCGTAACCCTTTAAAGAGTAAATATAATGACACTTAAATTCTCATTTCGGGAATTATAAATCCATCAGAGATTTCTCAAAATAAATATTAACTATTTTAGGTCCTATAAAGACCTTAATATTTTAATGTGCGATTTTCACTTTTTCTCATTTTGAGAACTTAAAATCCTTCGGGAACTCTTGAATTTAATATTAGTTGCATATCTAATTTATTATTCTACCAATGATGTAGCGGAACTTAATGCCATTTATCGTGGGAAGATATGTTTGATTAAAATCAATCAAGGGTATCTGCGTGAACCCATAAGACTACAAACTTGCTTTATATCATATCACCTCATTATTCTTATTTCTCTTTCGTGCACACACCCACTTGTAACCTTCGGGGTTAACTCTCAATGGTGTATGGTTATAAAGAGAATTATTAATAATTAGCGAGTCGATCTATGCCTTAATTGCTCTTTTATACGTTAAATAAATAGTCATGGCACTTCCGGTGCATAACTCTGGATCCAGATTATCATATAATGGAGCAATTTGTACAGACTATTGTGTTGTCGACAACTATAATACTTTCATAAATCTCTCCCATATTTATAATTGTTTATGGCAATATTTAAGTCAACCAGATTCTAGACATTTCCCAGAACTTATTCAGTTCACATCTGGTTGTCCCGCATCCCTAGTATTATGTTTGTTTGGTGCACCTATAAATTGACTAGGGTTTTTCGTCATCTGGACGAACGTCTCCAAGACATAATTATTCAATGTATAACAAGAGTGACAATGTTTATTTACTAGATCTAGTATAATGATTCTTATCTCTTACACCGATAGATCTCCTACACTTCTGACATCAAGAAGTATCGATAGATATATTTGGTCCAAATTGGGGATGATATATGGACCTAGTCACTCTTTTATGATCAGTATGATCAATAGATGTATTTGGCAGATTATTTGCTAATATCGCAAATATATCATCTTCTGAACTTTCAGTTCAGTCTAACTAGTACATGGATTAAATAATGAAGATACTTTTATTCTATGGAATTTCTTGGCATTCTATTAAATTTGAACTCTTATCTCCCCCTAATGCCGAGAAACAATCTTCATTAATTAAGTATGCAGTCAGCGTACCTAAGGATATGTATATTAGTCTCCTATCATGTGCTGTTGGCACATTAATTAATCAAGAGACTAAGGCTTTTTTGGCAGCCTTTTTAGAGGTATACGCTGAGGTGGTGATGTATTGAAATAGACTGCGCACTATAAATAATAACGCAGATATGGAAATGTTTATTTTGAAACCATGTACTAGGTATAACAATCCTTGAGGGATTGGTTTGTGATATGCAGTGAGTTAGATTTGGATTTCAAACAAAAGTATATCCCCAAAACATATAATTCAATATTTCTCCTTCACACATGCTCTATAAAATACTCATGTGGATAAGAAATTATAATCTCTAACTCATTATGTTTACCCAAAACGACCCAATCGCTCATGCCATAATTTAAAAAAAATGGGCCTTTAAAATTTTTAAAAAATCGCAAAATATAAATACTCAAAGGTATATGCAATCATATATGTCCAAATAGAGAGAACATACATATTAATTAAATGAAAAAAAAAATACGAGTACGCAACCATCTTAGGGGGTGAAGAGCCAAAAGAAGTCTAAATAGTGAGACCATTCAGGATCTCTAAAAACATGTTCTCAACTTATGAGGAGTGATCATTATGAAATATTTTACAACTAATTTGCTTCAGGCAAATTATCATGACATAATTTATTTCCAGCTTTCAAACACATAGCGTTTTAAATAACTATATCATGATCACTATGTGAAATGATCATAAAATATTTTGTACTGAATAGCATGACACTAATGATAGAGATTCAATACTTTTTCATGAGTCATTGTTAGTTCAAAAATCAATTTCATATAAGATCGTCCAGACTTTTATTAAAAAAATTCAATGACCAGGCACATTACTAAGTAGGAAAGGCTCGGAACTCATAAAGTACATTCCTACAAAAACTAAAATGTTGATGTCTCTTTAAAAAAATCAATGACATTCAAAAATACTTATTATAATCTGGTCATGTACTACTGCAGAAGTACAAGGTGACTATCACATATGACAATGAGACCCACACTATTTTAAGATAAATTTAGTTATGTACTTCTACTGGAGTACAACGGATTCATGTACCATCCGAAATATACCATATGGGAAGTAAAACCCGTCCAAAAAAAATTAAACATAGAGAAGTAAATTCTGAATTGTCAAATAATTCAGGGTGACCCACGAGAATTAACTTCTCAGATCATGCGTCCATTTTATACATTAATGGATCACAATAATTTATTGATCGTAGGGTCATACGATCCTTCAGGGATCAACTTAGGCTCTATGGATCTTTTTCGATCAAATATTCATAACCGTGGGTTTAGGCCAAAATAAAGGTGACAAATAAAAATTAGTACTCTTAGTGTTTCCCTTCAGGGCAAAACTATATTAAAGATTAAGCACTATCATCTTGTTTGGATATTCGGATTTGAGATTTATTTCAATGTCTGAGACTCGTATATATAGATTTCTAAAATAAAGACTAGCACCATAAATAAGCTTAAACTTGGACAAATAATCAATTGACTTCTAAATAAATACCAAGTCAATTTTCATTAAGAGATTGTCCTAGTGCTGTTATATTCTAATTAGTGTTATGACTTGTCGCCTTCTGGGCAATGCTATGTCTAAAAATTGAAGCTATAATCTCTCTTAAAACGTAGGATGTGAGTTATATCACAACATTCAGGCTCATATCATGCATGTCATGTAATTGTTATAACAAGAACAAGTTAAGGTTTAGCAACAACAGGTGCAACCTAACAAAATCATGTTTCAGTGGCCTATAGCAAATAATTAATTGCCAGCAAAAAAAATAATAAATTCTCTTATATGAGCCTAATGTGATATAATTGTCTCTTATGTCTTGGACACCAAAATCTCAATTGAGTCATGCACCTCACCTCAGCTTATTTGGGATTATGAAGGTCATCTCATGTTCATTAAAACTTTAATTTGCATTTATAATGACCATGAAAACAGCAATATATAGTCCGATGAGAAGAGATCCAACATAGCTTCAAATATGCATATTCATGCAGTGAGGTTTCTAGCCACCAGAGGTTTTACCGTGGCTATTTAGACTCGACTTCTAAAGGGGTTTAGTACTATTCGATCGAGTCTTGCATTTTGAATCATGAGTATAATACTTGGATGCATAACCCAACTAGATCATCCTAACATAATATCTAGCCTCACAAATTTATAAATTTCAAATATAAATAGGCCGCTGTATAAAATCTTCTCATGCAATGAGATAAAATCATTGTGACAATTACCCATGATGAAAATGGTGCATATAACTCAAGCTGATATTAGTGGTATATATCTGACATAAATTAAACCTCTAACACATTGCTTTTGTTTGTAAGGTTAAAAACAAAAGTTATATTAAATAGAGTAGTCAAATATATATCAGAGAGTATAGCACATAAGAATAAGCATCATGGCACGTATTAGTTAGGAAAACTAAATCGCATTATGAGATGATGACAAGATAAAACCTGGTGGGATTTGTAGTATTAACGGTTGTCAAAAATTTTGCAGCTTCGATTCTTTGATCTGCAATTGTTTGTACACGTACGTACATTTTGGGATCTCCTTTAACACGTACGCGGTTTTTGGATCGTTGCTAGTATGCATGCTTGACACGTCCAGTACAGTGGAGCAAACGTATAGTTGCATACCTAATATAAGAATTTTCATCGAATTGAATTGAAGATCATCAATGGAGGAGGGATTTGGTTGATCGGATCGGAAGATCATCAATGGAGCATCCGACTGGGAAATGGCGTCCGGTCATGTTCTTCCACGCCACCGCGAAAGCCGTGCTCATCAGCTTATTATTAGCGCTAATCTCAGGGCTCTTCTCTTCACAGGTCTCCTTGGTATCACTTGCGGCCCACGACCCAAACCTTTTATTATACGCATGAAGAGGATGGAATATAATCGAAACCATCACTATCTCGATCTGATGTTCTGATCGATCTTTTGCAAGTATCGGCAGGCCGGATTCTCCATTAACAACAGAAGTCTCCAGCCTTCTGGACGACAGGCAGCTTTCCTTGGCATCCACGGTCGAAGAATCATCTGCGCCCGGAGCAAAGGAATCGTGAGGGGATCGTCGAACTGAGCTCAAATCGGTTGGGCAGGAAGCCATGGCCAAACCGGCGGTAGTTTCGCGGTGGATGCGGTGGTTTCGCTCCTCGACAGTGAACTCCTCGGAGTCTCCTTCATCCATGGAGATTGGCACCTTGCAGGTCAATAACCTCTCCATTATTGTTCAGCGAACGGGGGTGGTGACGCGGCGTCATTTAGTCAGGCGAGACGGAGGACCTAGCGCTATGACGAGTAGAAACGGCGAAGGCGGCACTGATTTTAGAGATCGAAGCAGAATTGGTCTTTTGCGCTTATCAGTATTCCTTCTCTAAACAATGGACAGACATGGAGTTAGCCTGATTCACTATCGGCTGTTCACCGAGGATCTGGATGGTTAGAGCATCTCGTGCTGATAACGTGTTATACAAAAATTAGGGAGAAGGAATAGACAGAGAAGAGAAGAAAGAGGAAGATCAGCCCATTTCTCATTCATCATTAGAATCAATATACAAAGGTATCACATCAAATATAAGGCAATAACTATACATATAAAAGGTAGTAACCTATCAATTACAACTACTACCATATATACAATAATGTCCATAATAATAATATTTGTAACATATACGTGTATTTATACATAGCCAAGCATCTTGTGCTCAGATGGCATGTACTGACTCCGGTTGAAAAAGTATAGATGAACAGATACTACAATATAAAAGTCTCCAAAAGAAAGAGAAAAAACACAAAGCTATTATAATTCAACATATATCCTCTTTATTGTATTCTATAAGTGAGTGTTATAATGAAGGGTAAAATGGGTAATTCAGGTTTTGCACTTCAAATTAATGAATTTGTAACTCCCTTTCAACAGTCTGCGCACGATTTTCTTCAAATTAGGTTTTTGATCTCCTTAATCTATGATTAAAATGTGGGATAATCAGCTAGAAGGTCAAAAAAGTTAATCTTCAACTTCATCTACAAACTTCCCAAGACAAAGATTTCACAAATTAAAGGGAGTCGTAAATTCATTAAATTGGAATGCTAAACCCGAACTACACATTTTACCCTTCATTTTAACACATACTTCACGCCAAAGCTAACAGATGACCATTTTGACTTAAAATTCAATAGTCAGAGGATCACTTTGGGTGCAATTAAAAGTTAAGGAACCAATTTAAAAAAAATGCTATAGTCGAAGGACCATTTTGAGAATTAACTCTGTAATTAAATTACATGAGTAAGAGGGAGTTGGTGAAATTCCATCCCCTCTAATCTCTTCAATTCTTGGAACCAAGATTAGGGTCTAGTTGCCTTCTCAATCTCTTTAAGGTCCAATATGTATATATGTATGTTAGATTGCTGGGAATGTTATATTCTCGTGTTTGGTTTAAAATTAAGATATGTAAATAAGACAACGGTAATAAGATAAATTGATTAAAACGTCTAAAGCCTAACATTAGTAATAAATAATAATAAGACAATGGAATGTGAGATTACCTAAGAAATTGTAGGGTATATCACATTCCCTTTCAATAGCTAAAAACTTAATGAAGACATTCCCTAGGAAAGTTACATAACCTGAACCAAATATGATAATCTTATATTACCAAGCAAATATAACTTTGGTTATCTTATATAACATGAATCAAACGCCCCCTTAAGGTAATATTTTATTCTTGCCAACACTTTTTTCAGTCAAACTTTGTCGCACAAGATTTTCTTAATGTGATTAAATCTCTTGCACAAAAAAAAAAAAAAAAGTGATGAATACTCTTCTGTGGGTTGTGAACTATTACATAGAAGTATAAGTTATCCTATGTATACTCTCGACTAATATTTGCGAATTTCTCACATTTTCAAAAATTATAATTTTTTTTTCTAACATGTTTAACTTCTTTTTTTTTTTCCTCATCTTTCATGAAATTACAATTCCGATGAGACTTTAGGGATCTTAATTGCTCAAAATGAAAAAAAAAAAAAAAAACAATTTCATTAAAAAAACAATTCTATCACAATCAATGTATGAAAAATTTAATTTTATAAAATTTGGGACCAACTCACCAAAGGAGTTGTAAATTGTAATCCCCCCCCACCCCCCCCCCCCCCCCCCTGAAAGTTTTATTCCCCAAAGAGGTTTAAATAATTAAACCTACCCCACGGATATGGATAATCTATCATTCTTAATTATAATTTATTATTAATGCGCTGTGTTCTTGCGAAGGTTAAACGCAATAGTTGAGAGGAGAAAAATAGTGTCAGCAAGCTTTTATAGATCCAATCTAGGAACATTCGCCCCCACTGCCATATTATATATATATATATATATATATATACATATATACGCACGAAGAGCTAGCTAGGTGTATGCAGTATAGTCTATATTGAACATACGTTTTCCATTTGATTTGAGCAGCTTTTGGCGCAATGGGTTTCCCGGTTAGTGGCTCAGAAACCAAGCAGTATAAGTTCTTGATCTATGGCCGCACCGGGTGGATTGGCGGTGTGCTGGGCAAACTGTGCGAGGCTCAGGGGATCCACTACGCTTACGGGTCTGGGCGGTTGGAGAACCGGGTATCTTTGGAGTCCGACATCGCATCCGTCAACCCGACCCACGTATTCAACGCCGCCGGAGTCACCGGCCGCCCGAACGTCGACTGGTGCGAGTCCCACAAGGTGGAGACCATCCGGGCCAACGTTGTGGGCACGCTCACGCTCGCCGACGTCTGCAGGGAGAAGGGGCTGGTGCTCATTAACTTCGCCACCGGCTGCATTTTCGAGTACGATTCCGGCCACGTTCTCGGATCCGGCGTCGGCTTCAAGGAGGAGGACACTCCTAATTTCATTGGGTCCTTCTATTCCAAGACCAAAGCCATGGTGAGTTTCTTTTTGTTTCGTTTCTTGCCCATTTCCTTATCCTGTGAGTATATTTGTGTGGTTAAGATCCAGTATGCTACAATGCGCACTAAGCTGTTGAAATTCAAGATCTGCTGTTTAGTTATTGATTACATTTTGAATGCATTTCCAATGTGAGCTTCAATTCTTTCTGTGATCTAATCTGTTTAATGTGGGTAGTCGGAAAGGGCATGTCTTTTTAGGTAATGTGGAGCTTATTATCCAGGTGATCCTAGTAGGGTACTAGGTTGGTTGGTTGCTTTGAGGTGATGCAATTTAATTTAGATAATCTAGTCTGATTGTATTCCCTTGTGTTTGTTTGGTCTTCAGTTGCCATATCAATCTTTGTTAGTGAACTCTACTTCAATGTGTTCATATTCTGTGTTGACGAGAGAAACAGGCAGCCACTATTCGAGGGTGTGCACGAGATAAATCCTGCCTTTGTGATCCTAGCCGGCAAAGGTCCTAAACCAGGCTAGGTTGCCCATAGCTGAACGGCTCAAACCAAGAAGCCTGGGATTCGAACATGACCTTGTGGTTACAAGTTTGTATCCTTAGCCATCTTGGCTGGGATGATTACCCCCAATGTGTTCATATTCTGGGGTGATGAGGGAAACACGCAGAAACTATTCGAGGGTGTGCAGGATAAATGTCGTCTTGTGACTCTAGTCGGCAAAGGACCACCAGGAGGTAAACCAGACTAGGTTGCCCATAGCTGAACGGCTCAAACCAAGAAGGCTAGGATTTGAACTCGTGACACCACAAGTTTGTATCCTTAGTCATCTTGGCTGGGATTACCCCCAATGTGTTCATATTCTGGTTTTTAGGAGTCATAACATGGGGTGATCTGGGACTGCAAACGTAGTTCTTGGTTTTGGTTACTTTGCCTATAATTTTAGATAATCTAGTCTGGTAGTATCGCTTTGCCCTTGGTCTTGTGTTCATATCAATCTATGTTAGTGAAGTTACTTCAATGTATTCAGATTGATTCTGGTTTTTAGGAGTCTAATAACATGAATTGATTTGGGACTGCAAGCATGAAAGTAATGATCAAAACCACATTTTTGCTTATGTAGTTCTTGCCCATGGTTTCTTTTATCCATCTTGAACTTTTTACTGATTAATGGGGCTAAATTCATGGTGGTTCATCATTCCTGTTTTATTACCACCTGATCATAAGAACGATAATTTGTTGTTGATGGACTTCTTGTCGAGTGATAATGCACAACCAAACCTAGAAAGAAGCATAAAACTAAAGCCCAAAGTGGGCAGATCTCTTGTCCACACCGGCAATTTGGCCCGATTTGCTGAGCCACTGAGTTACCGTGATTTACATCTTCCCAAATGCTCTGTCAGGCCGGGGGTGTAGGAGGCCATTGGGATTGGGGATTCAACCTTTTGGGGCAAGTATAAAACTAAAGCAAAGTTATATTTGTTTTCCTCGGAATATTTGTTAATCTTTTACAGTTGTAATTAGAAAATGTTGGGCTGCATATGGGAGAATCATAGTTGCATATTAAATGTGTTTGGATTATCTTTATTAGGTGGAGGATTTGCTCAAGAACTATGAGAATGTCTGCACATTACGAGTGAGGATGCCTATCTCATCTGATCTATCCAACCCTCGTAACTTCATCACCAAGATCGCTCGCTACGAGAAGGTGGTTAACATTCCAAACTCGATGACAATATTAGACGAGCTCCTCCCTATATCCATCGAGATGGCAAAGAGAAACCTCACCGGGATATGGAACTTCACGAACCCTGGAGTGGTCAGCCATAACGAGATTCTGGAGATGTACAGGGAATACATTGATCCATGTTTTACGTGGAAGAACTTTACCCTCGAGGAGCAGGCAAAGGTTATAGTTGCTCCAAGAAGCAACAATGAGCTTGACGCTACCAAGCTAAAGAAGGAATTCCCGGAACTCATGTCGATCAAGGAGTCCCTCATACAATACGTGTTCAAGCCAAATCGTAAGACCCCCGTTGCTTGAACCTTATAAGTGGTTTGAATTTTATTTCAAGAATTTATATTTTTTTCTGATTTTGGTACAATGTTGATCGGTGTGAAGTCTACATTTCACAGGTTCTGTTTATCCAAATGTAGGCTTGTTGTGTATTGAATGTTGTATCTTCTCTCATATTTCAATATGAATAATTTGGGATTAGCACTGTAATGAATTTTTCAGCAATGTTCTGCTAAACATATTCAAAACAATTATATTGCAATCCAAACTGTACCTATAACGTTTAGTTGCTTCTTGTTTGCTGTTAATTTAATATTCAGAGTCACAGTTTAGTTTAATGGCGACTATTATAATGCATTAAGAGCTCCACCAAGCTGTTTTCACCTTTTTTTTTTTTTTTTTTTTTTTTTTGGTTATATCACGAGGTGTCCTAAGCAAATCTTAACTGTAGGAGACACTTCCAAACCCGTACTGTACCCATACTAATCCCGATTCACATATGCCCGACTCAATTAAGGGGTAAAATGTTGGCTAGATTGATTTTTTCATACAAGGGGCAATAATTATTGTATGGACCATGGTTCACATAGCGGTGTGGATCATACTATCAATAATGTACATTCAGTATACAAATAATATATTTTTAGTATATTATATTCAGGAAAAGTACATTATTTTGCATAATGTACCTTCAGTACATTGAATAATTTACCTAGAGGGAAGTTTGAACTCCCAACTTCTCTTAAAAGATGAGAGTGCACGACCACTCATGTTAACTAAACTGGTTGTGTTCTTGCTTTTTGATCGAGAAAAGTAGGCAAAATCTCGCTTTCCGATCGAGAAAAGTAGGCAAAAAATCAAAATGTATGCAACTCAAAAAGTTAGGAAAAGCAACTACTATCTAGCGACCCAAACAACACCTTTCTACCCACTCTCAAACACATCTGGGTCCAAGTAGTTAGTCCATACAACAACATTAAGTTAGTACATATATATATATATATATATATATATATATATATATAGATATTGAATCTGGTGAGGTTTCCTTTGGCAGGTAAGGTGGTGAGGCTTGATCTTGTACGTATATTTGGGGTGTTGGACGGATGAGATGAATGTTGCATTACGGGCACGTGCGTATCATTGTGTGTGTGTGGAGGGGCTTTAATTTGTTGTCTTTTTAGTTGTGTCTTTATTAGGTTATATTAATTTACATTAATTTATTTGCAGATTTTATGGGCTTGTGCAGTGATAATTATGGTCGTAATCGAATTTTATTATGTGTAGTATAACTGTGTCGTCTCTTCCCATTCCAACTGTTGCTAGATGGTCCCACCAATGTGGGTAGGGTGGTGACCAAAAGCTTAACAATTAAGCTTGGAAGATGAAGTGAAAGGTTTTTTGATTAATGGCTTCATTCATGTCCACTTAATGGGAGATTAAAGTGGGCAAATGAAAAGACAAAAGAGTTGGCTTTGTAAAGCCTATATAAAGGCCATGGATTTGGCTACCTTGGATATGAGAGAGTTCAAGAAGAAGAAAAAGAGAGGAGAGAAAATTTGTTGAGATATACAAGTGTGAGAAAATTAGCCGAGAAGAAGTTGGTGGATTTCGTAAAAATTCTTGTGCCTCGGGGTATGTTATTTTCTCTTGTATTTTGTGTTGCCTCTAATCGTTGAATTAGAGAAGCCTCCTTTGTTGTACCCATTATCTATATAGTGGAAGGTTTACTGGCTTGTGCCCGTGGTTTTTTTACTCCTTGCCTTGAGGAGGTTTTTCCACGTTAAAATTCTTGGTGTTCTTCTTGGTGCCGTTTATTTATTTTCATTGTGCTAATTATATATTCTTGCGAGCTTTCTTCCCAACACCAACCGCCTCTTCTTCTTTTTGTAACCTTCTCCCTGACCGGTCATCTTCTTCATTTCTTCTTCCTTCTCCTAGCGTTTCACGACGGTTCGTTTTTGCACAAAGGTATAGCGTTCGGCACGGCGGGCTCTTCGAACCGGAGTTCCAAGCGGTTGAGGACGGCGTCTTCCGGCGGCGTTCCAGGTATTGCTTCTGTGTTGTAGTGTTGCTTATGGTGTGGGTCGCGTATTCTGGGTGTTTTTTGTGGTGCATGTCGTCCTGGATGGCGGTTTTAGCCGCGATGGGGGGTTGCTGTGCAGATAGGTCCGGTGAGTGTGGGTGGGGTGTTTTTCTTCGAGTTTTACCGGTCGCCGTTTTTTTTTTTTTTTTTTTTCTCGGGCGGATATGTGATTCAGGGGGCTTGTTTTGTTTTGCATGGCAGCGTCTGGGTCGGTGGTCTGTGGTGGGGGGGGGGGGGGGGGTTGGGCAGCGCCCTTTTGGTCTCTAGGGGTCGTGTGTCTAGGGTTTCCGGGTGGGATGGTTCGGGGTTGGGTTTTTTTTTTTTTTTTTTTGGTTTTTGTTTTTAACCGCCGTGTAGGTTCTGCGCGCGGTGTCGATGGGTTGATTGGGATTTGTGGTGTTTTGGACGGTGTCGCCGTGTGGGGTGGTTTTTTTTTCTTTTTTCCCCGGTTAGTAGTCTGTCCGGGGGTATGTGCGTTATATCATGTCGGCGTGTGCAGTCGAATGGTTTCATATTGTCCAATGTTTGGTTTCAATTATGGATTGTGTAGAAAGTTATTTTTGTTTGGTTTCATATTGTTAGCATTTTTGGGGTGTAGTGTGTACATATGTTTTTTTTTGGATTCCTCTTGTTTCCATTTTCGAATTGGAGCATATGGTAGGTGTTGGGTTTGTGCCTAGTTGTTTTCTTTGTACAATGTTAGTTTTATTTCTCTGTATATCGTTTTTTGATTTTCTTTGTTGCCTTTTTTAAAAAAAAAAAAAAAAAAAAGGCTTTAGTTTAGACGGGGTGGGTTAGGGGGGTGAGGGCTTGCTGTGAGGCGGGTGGTGGGTGTATGCGTGCGTATAGTCTGTGCGTTTGGCTTATTTAGTTGTTTTTACGCTTTTCAGGGGTAGGGGGTGGGTGTATGCGTTGTAGGATTTGGGTGTGTGCAGTACGTTCTACATGCTATTATATGTGTTCACTGCTTTTTAATTTTTGAACTTTGGTAGTGTAAATTAGCCATGTAAATATGTTTGTGTTTTTTTATTATAGAAAAAATGATGCTATGCTGTGATGTTTTCAAATAAGTTATGCTCTGCCGCATGGGGAACCCTGATCAAATTTAGTTTTCTCTTTAATTGCTAATTATAATTGTCACAAACTAAAAAAGTTTTTATTAATTTGTCAAATTTTATGAGTTTTAACATTATTGTTATATAATGTTGGTTGTAATTTTGGTCACAGCACATTAATTTTTTTTCTTTTAATTACATTGTTTAGGGTTAAATATGTTGGTTATAAAACATTAACAATATGTGTTTAAATGTGTCGACCAACATTTCTTTTTAGAATTACAGTTATTACTATTATTACTTTTATTATATTCTTTTTACTGTCTGTGCATTTTGATCACATGGCGTGTGCGTTTGACTGTTTTTCGAATATGTGTTTTTTATTAATTTGTCAAATTTTAAGAGTTTTAACATTATTGTTATATAATTTTTTTTTTCGGTGTAAACCACACATTGTGGTCCGGGTCTTTCTCTGTCCGTTTAACGGTCCAGGTCCACCCAGTTCGCTCCGAGAGGCACAGAAGCTGGCCCAAAGGGAATCGTTACTTGTGGTAATTGAACCCATGTTATCCCAGAATTCTCCCCCACAAAGAGAGCTCATTTGCCACTTGAGTTACCCTGTTGGGTTATTATTGTTATATAATGTTGGTTATAGTTATTGTCTCAGCACACGTATTTTTTTCCTTTAATTAAATTTTTAAGGGTTAAATATGTTGGTTATAAAACAGTAACCGTATATGTTTAAATGATTCCACCAACAAATCTTTTTAAAATTACAATTATTACAATTATTACTTTTATTATATTATTCTTACTGTGTGTGCATTTTGATATAATGGTCTATGCGTTTGGCTTCATTTATTTGTTATGTCGGATATACTAATTTACAGGTTGTATGCGTATAATTTTTACTGGGGTTGTGTGCATATAATTTTTATTGGCGTGTGCAGGAGGGTATTGTCTTGTTAGTTCGGTCATTCGTTGTTTGTTGTTATTCTGGTGGTAATATTTTTTGTAATGCGTAGTTCGTTGTTTTGGTCTTTGCGTTTAAATTTTTCGTATTTTTTTCCAAGTGCACTTCGGTAGTTTGTAAATTTTTCAATTTACCATAGTCTTTCACTGCGGTTGTTACCCATTTCGTTTGTGTTTTCCGCTCGTGGCCTGTTTTACTAGTGTGCACTTCGTTTTTCCCGTCTGTGCAGTACAGTTTTTAGGTCTATGCGTACGGTTTTATTCACTTACTTTTTTACAAGGTGTTTTTATTGTTTTTGTTATTCAGTTACTTTTTTTTTTTTTTTTTTTTTTTTTTTTTTTTTTTTTTTTTTTTAACGCCCGTGTGTATGGATTTTTTATGAGTCGCTTTGTCATATTGTTGGTGTGTTTGGATACTCTTTCATAATTTATGTATGTTGCGTTACCTTTGTTTCGTCGTTTTCATTGTAGAGAACGATTCTGATGTGTTTGTATCCCCGCCTGGTGCTGGTTCGTCTGTTGTGCAACTAGGTCTACAAGCCCCCCCCCCCCCCCCCCTCGGTTGCGGTTTCGACCCCAGTTCAAGTTCAGCCACCCTTTGCTGCGGTGCAAATTGGGTCCCCCCCGGTTCCTCCGGTCGCGATGTCCACTCCTGTTCAGGTACGAGCGCCTTTGGATGGGGTGCGAGTTGGGTCTGGTGGGGATGCGGGGGTGGTGCTCCCGTCTCTTATACTCGCGCATTGCCCAAGCATTTGATGTCTAAGTTTAAACACTTCAGTGCTTGCCAACGTAAAACAGTGGTTCAAATTGGCTTGGGGGAATTGTTGAATCTTGAGGTGGAAGATTTCCCCAAGCGGTTGAGTAGGTGGCTTTTGGCTCAGTTTGATTCTTCAAACATGTGTGTGCGTTTAGCGAATGGTGCAGTACTACCTGTCACAGAGAATGATGTCCATGCCACTTTGGGGTTGCCCTGTGGAGGTGTTGCTATTACCAAAAGGCTTAAAGACGATGTTAGCGACACTCTCAAAGAGTGGTGTTCCAAATTTGAGGTTTCGAAGCATTCGGTGATGTTGGCTAAGATAGGGGATATGTTGCGGACCCTGGCTTG